TTTCCACATGGCTTTTTCATCACAGTAGGCCTGCCATTCATTTACTATTTTTTTAATATATATATATATTTTTTTAGAAAATTAGACCAAAACCATATGTCTATGTGACCATTCTGAACCAGGCATTTAAGACTCAACAGAGTAAAGTTGCAGTACAACTCTATGAAGGTAAGTTTTCAACTTATCACAGTACCTCCACCAAGTCTCATGAACAATTTTGGTTTAACCTCCTGTTAAGGGCTTAATGAACCCTTGTAGAAGTGATCTCTCTAATTTACTGTCTTTACTCCTATACACTTCTTTCACATTGGCTGGCATAATTGTCCTTCTTTTATGCAAATTAGCCTTCTGTGCCTTGCTTTTAAGGAACACATTTTAATGTTTTTAAACGTATAGTCAAGACCAGAAAGGCTAAATCTAAAATATAATGAATATAAAAGAATATCAATTAGGCTCGCTATCACTGAAAAAAGTATTTATATGGCTGGCAACCTCCATCGAGAGCTTAGATTTTTTCCTTGAGGAACAGGGAAGGTACAGTGGTGCTCCCATTGCAGTGAGCAAGGTTCTTTTCCTGAGCATAGCATCACATGTGAGTTTGGCGTTTTTGTGTGGTGCTTGTCCATCCTTTACGGGTTTTTCTCTAGGTGCTCCATTTCTGCTCCTCGCTCAAAAACTAACACTCCAAAATTTCAATTTGAACTGGAAACTGAGAACAAGAAGAGCCTCTTGAAAGTTTATTGCAGCCACTGCCAGCCTGCATCAGATAGCTCATCCTCGATTTGCTGCCAGTCTTTGCAAAGTGGTAAGGCCCTGGGAAGGGGAGTAGCAGATTCTCATTAATCAGCCATTTGCTACACTGTGTCCCCCCCTCAAAGTGTCTGACTCAGTTCCCCCACTGAGCATCCAACTCTTGCAATGATTTCCCTTTTGCTTCGTGTTTTTCCTAGGTCAGCTGACTGTTTTATCACTTTGAATAAGGGCAATCTAAACTGTCTTTTTGTCCCTGTCTGTAACAGCAAGGAGGAGCGAGGTGTGAAAGGACTAACTATTGCAGGAATTTCTTGCTAATTGCTTGACTTTTTTTTTTCTTTGACAGATATGCAAAAGTTCAAAGTAGCGATTACAGAAAATGTAGTCAGTGCACTGTTCAAAAACCTTGTTGCAGCTGAGAAACCTGAGGTTTGTTGTGATCAGTGGAAATTAAGAAACATCTCAATAGAGTAAGGTAGTAGTGATTATTAGCTGTAGGAATTGTACAGACTTTGGAATGCTTGAAGAAGTTTTGAGGTTGTGATTTTGTTTCCTAGGCCCCACCTGTACAAAGGCTGGAGATTATTATTGTCTGAAACCTAGAAATCTTCCAAACCAATCATAGCTATTGGACAATTTCCTCTTTTGTTGGGATTGCAATTTTGTTTCTCCTTAATTTCTTTTTCAAATTTTCTATCTCAGACCTCTCTCAAATTCGCTCATTTATCGCCTCTAGACTTCCTCTTTTTACTTCTTTTAAATAGAAGTTCCCAAACCAAATAAACCAAGTAATCTCGATCAGAGTTTCCCTATAATTTTATCGTTTTTTAATCATTTGCTATTTCAGGATCTTAAAAAGAACTTGGAAGTCATGCTTGATGTTTTACATTGGGTAGATATGTTCAAGTTGAGGTACGTTTCTCTAAACCTATCTGCTCCCAAGATCACGTTGTTATATTTGCCTTCTGGCTGCTGGGTATAAGCATGCAATTAAGTTATGAAAATTGATTATTTTTGCAAATCACGGCCTCTAGCAGATGTGTTTTTGTATTTTCATGACCTGTTTGTTGAGCAATGTTTTGAATTTGTGAGGACAAGTTACTTGAGAGCCAATTTCCTACCTCCTTTGCGTTTATTTCTTGTCGAATTTCAGATTAACCTTTAATATCCAAGATCTGATTGTTAATTCTCCCCACTTGCTGCTACACATTTCCTTGTAAATTGGTACTGAGAATTAGGATTTAGATCAGGATAACAACCTTTACTTGATAAGTTTGAGTATTCTCATTACCTGTTTGCTGAAAATGTATGGATATTATAGGGAGAAGTTTCATGTTAATCACTTCTAAGATTGCATTCAATTCTACATTTCTTCCCCATTTCCTCTCTTTTTCCTCCAGTTGTAGAAGGAATATTGGAAAGAAACTCAATAGGAAGGGTAAAGCAAATTTCCTAAACTGAGCTTATAAGTTTTTTAAGTCTCTGACAAGGATCTTAAATTTTTCTTATTATAGAATCCATCCGATGACTATTTCTCTAATCGTTCGGATGTACTCTGTAAACGATAAACTAGAGATGGCTTGGTAAGGTTGCAAACTACCTTTATCTAAATTTGATGTTGTTGCAGTCCTCTCCTGAGGTGTTTTAATAGTAAGCCATAAAAATAGAGTAGCCAGTTAAAATTTACACGGGTACTTTACTGCTTAGTCTGATTAAAGGAATCGGCGCTTCAGGAATGAGTAGTTGGAAAAAAAACGGTCCCTACTGCATCTATAAAACACTTGCTGTTTTAATGCGCGAAGATAATTCTTTCAGCCTTGGAAGTTAAGGTCTAGAAGAAGTGTAAGACGAAGAGGGAGAGACGGGGAGGGAGCACTCAAGTACACTTTAGGTGAGGGTGTACATCCCAGTCAAACCTTGAACCACACGTTGTTTAACTCTCCTTTTCAAGTTTGGTAACGAGTGAGACTGTTTTACCACTAGTCAGGCTGCCCTCTCTCTTCATTTGATCCTAGGTGACGAAGAAGAAATGAAGTTTTTGATTGTCCCAATTACGACTTGCTCCAATTAGTTTAGCTCTATAGTTAATTTGGTTATATCAACTAACTTGAAATTGTAAATTGGCTACTGTAAAGAGTTAAAAAGCTGACATTTCGAGCGTTAGCCCTTCGTCAGAGCATTAGCCCTTCGCTCTGACGAAGGGCTAACGCTCGAAACGTCAGCTTTTTAACCCTTTACGGTGACCAATTTACAATTTCAACCTAGTTGATATAACAAAATTATCTTATTACCCCCACCGACGCAGCACCACAATTTCTTTAGAAACTTCCGCCGTTTATTCATTTAGCTCTATTGTTAGTTTGGGTGCTCTGTTACAGAATAGAGTTGTTCCCTAATTTCATAGGCCTTCAGTTACGGTACAAATAAAATGTTGTTATTGTTGTTGTTATTGTTGTTGTTGTTGTGGCCGTGCCATCCTAAAGACACGGCTTCCAACTTATTTTTGGAAATGCATATTTATTACAAATGGATTCATTTACAATGAATGTATGAAGTTCGTATATTTTGAACTGCGGTATTATAGATACGTATGATGCACGATCCTCGCAGTAGAGAGCGCTATTTATGCAATAGCGAAAATCAGATCAGAAAAAAATCAGGCCTGTACGGGTTTATTACGAATCAACTTAACGACCTGCTCACAGTTGGCTTGTTAGCTCAATTGGTAGAGCGCTGCATTAGTATCGCAGAGGTCAGTGGTTCGAATCTCGTACAGGCCTGATTTTCTTCAGGTCTGATTTTCGCTATTGCATAAATAGCGCTCTCTACTGCGAGGATCGTGCATCATACGTAAATGGATTCATGTCGGAATAACCCAGGGATTCCTTTCTTTCAGGAATACCCTAGCGATGTACAAAAAAGCAGAAGCCTTTCCGCAGTAAGTAATTGATGAATAGTCCGAGTGGGTTTGTTTAAGTATGGAGACCTTTGTTCGGTGTCTCTCATTTTTTCCTGTGACCTGGAAATTTCTCACAGAATGTTGTGGCTGTATTTTCTGTGCTGATTTTCGCACCGTTTTTGAGGGATTTATGTGGATAAAATTCACTTGCTATGTCATTTTGAATGGTATCATGTTTGGCTTAGCCACGTTGTTCGCGTCATACCTAAGATGGTTCTGGGATGTATATTTAAATTGAATTGATACCTGTTAATTAATAGACCTTTATAAGAATGTTTAAGCACACTACATGAAAAGACTTAGAATAATAAATAGATGAATAAATAAATAAGAAGACCGTTCATTCTGAACGGCAAACTTAGTTGTACATATGCAAAAAAAATGGAACGCAAGATGTAAGTCAGAGTATTTCAGCTTCATTTGTCTTATGAGTTATACGTTGTAGTAACATGGAGTTTTCATTTCTTTTGTCATTTTACTTCAGTTTCTCGAGTCTCCTCAATATATTGAATCTGGCTGTGAAAAAAGGTGATCAGACTAAAGTAGTGGTGAGTGTCACTAGATGTCACGCTAGATGTCATACTTGATTGTCACGCTATTTTTTCGGCTAGGATGATTGGGGTACATTTAAAGAGATGCGTAGCTTAGTTTAGACATGTATGCATCAGAAGTTAGATTTATGGCGTCATCGCAATTTTACAGGGATTGCCCTGGTTTCTTTTCATATATCATCTTTTAGAAATACTTCCATAAAACCTGAATATTACTTTAGAATGCATTACTTAATCCAATAACTTCAGACCATTTTGTATACTTACGTCAAATTTTTACACCCAAAAGATTTGACTGTTTGTCTATCTCTGTCTTATTTTTCTTATTTATTTATACATTTATTTTTGCGTGGGTTCCAAAATTTGTTGCTGTTGTGATACTTTTCAACTCTTGCAGGCAACTTTTGAGCTGATGGCCAAGTATGGCTACGAATTTAACGGTCGCCGACGATTTGAATATTATAATGCAGCCAACCTTTCTCGTAATGACAGGCAAGGCACTTGGAATTTTTTTTCTCGTTGTTTCAATTACAATCAGTGTTTTCCAAGGTAAAAAACACCAGACTGATAACAATCAAACATGAGAACCGAATTGGCTGGATGGCTCGTTGGCTGACTGACTGACTGACTGACACACTATCTTGCAGACTGACCGTCTTACTGACTGACTGCCCGATTGCTGGACTGACTGACTGTTAGACTGTCAGGCTGACTGACCGTCTTACTGACTAATTTGGATATATCAACAAAGTTGAAATGGTAAATTGGCCACCGTAATGATTACAAAAGCTGACGTTTCGAGCGTTAGCCCTTCGTCGGAGCGAATAGAGGAATTGTGGGTTGTGTGTGCTTTTAAAGGCAGAAAATGGAGCTACGTTATTGGTGGGTGCATGGCAACGAGAAAAACATGAATAAATTAGTGGAATGAAAAGCGTTCATTGATCCCTGTGGGATTTAGACTGCCGGTTTGAAAGATGAGCTTTTGTTCAAGATTTTTACGGCTTTCCGTGCCACCTAAGTGCAAGGAAAGACCGCAGATTGCCATATGTTGCTTAGAATGATTAGGTAAATTAAAATGTCTAGCGACTGGTTTCGATGTGTCCTTGTCATTCCTTTCCACGTCTCGAAGGTGTTCTCGGAATCGGTCACCTAGTCTTCTGCCTGTTTCGCCGATGTATATCTTTTTGCAATAAGTGCAAGTTATGCAATAGATTACATTAGCGGAGGTGCACGTGAAGTGATCGGTGATCTTAATGGATCGTTTAGGTCCCGATATTTTATCAGTGTTGTGAATGAAAGGACACGTTTTGCATCGTGCACGAGCGCATTTAAAAGTGCCTGGTTGCTCATTAGTCTGAAAAGAACTTCTGACCAAAAAATTGCCTAAGTTTTTGTCGCGTTTGAANTTTGCCCGATTGCTGGACTGGACTGACTGACTGTTAGACTGTCAGGCTTACTGACTGACTGACACACTATCTTCCAGACTGACTGTCTTACTGACTGACTGCCCAATTGCTGGACTGACTGACTGACTGCCCAATTGCTGGACTGACTGACTGTTAGACTGTCAGGCTGACTGACTGACACTCTCTTCCAGACTGACTGTCTTACTGACTGACTGCCCGATTGCTAGACTGACTAACTGTTAGACTGTCAAGCTGACTGACTGACAGACTCTCTTCCAGACTGACTGTCTTACTGACGGACTGCCCGATTGCTGGTCTGACTGACTGTTAGACTGACTGACTGACTGACACACTATCTTCCAGACTGACTGTCTTACTGACTGACTGCCCAATTGCTGGACTGACTGACTGTTAGACTGTCAGACTGACTGACTGACACACTATCTTCCAGACTGACTGTCTTACTGACGGACTGCCCGATTGCTGGACTGACTGACTGCTAGACTGTCAGGCTGACTGACCGACACTCTCTTCCAAACTGACTGTCTTACTGACTGACTGCCCGATTGCTGGTCTGACTGACTGTTAGACTGTCAGGTTGACTGACTGACTGACTGACACACTCTTCAGACTGACTGTCTTACTGACTGACTGCCCGATTGCTGGTCTGACTGACTGTTAGACTGTCAGGCTGACTGACTGACAGACTCTCTTCCAGACTGACTGCCTTACTGACTGACTGCCTGCCTGATTGCTGGACTGACTGACTGTTAGACTGTCAGGCTGACTGACTGACAGACTTTTAATCAGACGGGCTAAACCCCCCATAGGTGGTTTGCACGTTACGTCATCGCCGCCATGTTGGTGGACGTAAACAATAGATATCTCATTAGCTTCTTTTGTTCGTTCACCAGCATTTGTTCCTTTCGCCATTGTTACCTGTGTCTCTAGAGATTGGTTGCAAACCCTACATTGACGGATTCATTTATTCATTCGATATTTCATTTATCATCATCAGGAAACACATCGACAAGTTATTTGAAAGTTTAGAAGTTCTCGGTAAGTGCTTTGGAGGTTGTCACGTACTCAATTTCTTGGTGATACTCGGGACGGCGCTGGTGGTTCTCTATTTCAGTTGCGTTGCAAAATACACTAGTAGAGAGAGGGGTTGTATTCTGTGACATAACTGAAGGAAAGGATTACACTGTGTTAAGTGGTTTTTAGTTCCAACTTTAGAGAGCCATATAACTTATTGTACTTGGGTTAACCCTTTGTACCATAATGTTAGCAGGGGAGCAGGTATGGCATAGTGGTAAGAGCGCTCGCCTCCAACCACTTTGGCCTGAGTTCGATTCCCGGACCTGTTTTTACATGTGGGTTAAGTTATTTGTTGGTTCTCGTCCTTGCTCCGAGGGTTTTCTACAGCTCGTCTTGTTTTCCACCCTCCAGAATTACCAACATTCTAAATTCCAATTCACCCTGGAAACAATGGACAAGAAGAGCCACCTCTTGGAATGCCCACTGCTAAACCCCATTTTTTTTTTTTTTTTAATTTGTTTGACAATCAGGTGATCATTTCCTTTATTCTCATAATCTCAACTTTTGATTCATAAATGGTGATAATGTAAGGAGAAATAAGAAGCGAGACGCTCTTAGAGATTAAAGGGGTAAAACAAGAGATGAGGTTGTCAACTTCTATCGTCTCATACGCAGATTAATCAACACACTGTCTCTTAATTGTTGTTTTACTAGACGATAACAAGAGGAAAACAAGGAACGTAGCACATAACTTGCCAGATAAGGTATGGATCTGTAGTTGTCTTCGGATGTATACATCTTTAAGATTTCTTTCAAAAAAATACAGATACTACAAGGCAAACCTCCTTTCATTGGTCACAATTTTTTGTGTTTAAGGATGATGCCTTAGAAGAGCCAACAGAGATTTCTGAAGGAAACCAATAGATTTCCAGAGCCCAAGCGAAGAGCAAAGAGGATATTGTGGAAAACTCTGTACAGGCATTAGTTGTGGATGTTCTTTATGTGGCTAACAACAGTTGAATTATTTGAATAACCTGTTAGCTCTTTCACTAAGTGTGTAACACAGATGAGCAAAATCGTTCCTAGGGTCTCTCCTCTTTCCAAACTACAAAGCGAGAGAGACTGGACAACCCCAAAGTTTTCTCTCTTTCGTTTCAGATGGTTTGAAGTTGGGAGGCAAGGGAAACTAAAGCGTTTTCAGTGTAGTTTCGTAGCTCGGAAAGAGGCCAATTTTAACTTACGGCAACATACAGTGAACCAATGAGAACTCAAAACAGCCGCAAGTACAAGGTACTAAGCGTGCACACAAACAAACAAATGAAAAACAGAAGAGAGGGTTTCGCTAAATCAAGCTCGGAATGGCTCTTTTAAAATGTGCACCTCTTAAAAGATCGCAAATAAAGTAGAAATAAATAAGATTGTTTTTGCCGTTCAGTCAGGGTTATGTGTGTATTTCTCGTCACACTACTGTTGTATACTTCGTTTACTTCCAGTTTAGGTCCGTTAGGTCACTTAACATATACAAACTTCAGCAGCACTATTTTGACTTCCACTGAATTGAAATTAAAAAGTTTGCTCCACTACTAGAGATAAAATGCTCCACTTATTTTCCAGTGTCACGAGAGGAAGTTTTCGACAACCATGCAGTCTGCTCTTACAGCTAACCTCCCGTTCGCTCCGTTCCCCTCCCCTCCCTTACAAGTAACCTCTGTTTTCCTTTCCTCCATCTTCTTCCTTTCACGATGGAATAGTCTCTCCGAGACTACACAAGCCTCTGTTTGAAAGAGAAGTTAGGTGCTCCCTCTGTTTTAAAGAGAGATCAGGTGTTCTAGTTCATCGGAAAATAATTTGTTACTCGCATGCACTTTAAACTCGCTTTCACAATAAAGATTTGATCAGCGAATGCAGTTTTAAGCGATCATTTTAGTACCTCATAGGAAAAATATCGCGTAATTCAGTATTCAACCAGCTCCCTCTACCCTTCCACCATGCCACTTCCCCTCATTCCCATTCTCCCATCCCCCTTTCCTCCATCCCCCCCCCCTCATCTCCCATTCCCCCAATAGATCCTCATGTCAAATGTTTCAATTAAAACCTGTATTTTACACGCTTACACAACATATTAATGACATCTTGGGTATGAATTATTGACAGGAGATTTTGACACGATGTGAAAGTGAAAACAGTCATGGCTGAATTTTTCAAATTCGCTTCAAGGGTCTTTGATAACAATTATCTGAAGCACGCTAGTCCTTGATACCATCGTCATGACCAAAGTAGAGTCTACCATGCCATTTGTATCGTAAGGCCCACAATTAATTGTCACACTTGATTTAATACTTGATTCTGCGAAGATCTTAAATGCAAAACCCGATTAACATGGTAATTCTCATTACAGTATCGATATAAATGCCAGCAAATAGGTGATAGAAATAGAGAGCTGAACAATACTTTGACGGCGAAAAGCAGTTCACTCCTTTGCCTTTCAGACGTATCTGGCGACGATGTGAGATTGAATTAATAAACGGCAAGTACGGAATTAAATGTGTAAATATTCTTCAATTTTGCAGCCATGTTCAGTAACTTAAAGAGAATTTTCAATTGAGTCTCGAAAGTAGCTCGGGATTGTAATGATGTTGCTTGATCTGCATGCGTGGCGCCACACCCTCGATCAGTACGATGTCCAAAGAGAAGCAAGCAGGACTTGGTAACCAACATTTTACGTACAAACTGGAAACGCTCTAAAATAGTTTCTGGGGCTTCCAGATGATCAGAGCTCATTAGAGAGGGACTCGTTATAAAACTTACTTGGGAACATCACGCGAGCCGTTTATATTATCATGCTTCTGAATTGTCATCCAGAGCTATTGGTTTCGTAAAAATTTAATTGATCGAAGTTTGAATTAGGAAGCTAATTTAGGCTTTCAAATACATATATCTATTAACCAAGCGCGAGGACCGTACTGGGAGAATATCGGCCCGTGGTCTTGACTGTACGGACCGAGCGCAGCGAGGTCCATACAAAAAAGACCGAGGGCCGATATTCTTCCAGTACGGTCCCGAACAAGCTTGGTTAATAGGAGATTTATTATACGACTGAAGTTCAAAGGGACACAAGTGCGGTCCAATACTGAGACTATTGACCGGCAATAGAGCATTTTGATTGGTTTATTTTAGTTATTGGCTCTCTGACTGCACGAGTCGTGTGATAAAAGTATTTATTATCCAACTACACTCCTTAGAGTACAAATAACGCCATAGATGAGTACAAAGGAAGATGAGAGACACTGGGAACGGGGTTGGGAGAGAGGAGGGGAAGAGGAGGAAGAAGGGGCCTTTTTTAGGAGAGAATCGAGAAGGGGCCTGTTAGAGAGGGGGCTTAATAAGCAGAGGGATTATTAAGGAGGAGGGGATTTATTATGAACAAGGGCCTTGCAAGGATGGGAGCTTATTGGAGCAATTAAAGAAGCCTAACATGTAGTTGTATTTTTCCTTTCCTCTACTTGACTGCTCTGATTACTTTGGGGTTTACGACACTCCATTAAAAAGCTCCCTTTAACAAGCTACGGAGAAAAATCTCTTTTAGAGCGTTCATTCGAGTCACGATCAATAGTCTATATTAATTTTCTAGAAATTTTATAAAATCCATGCTACAATTTTTAAAAATGTTCCGACATCATGAGTACCACAAGAGAGGACCACCCTGTGAAAGGATGAGAGCCCTTCCCGTGACCCGTCCCGTCGTCGTACTGTTCCCATATGAACCCTGACCTCTCGTACTCGCTGAACATATTTTTGATTAGATTTTGTCGTAAATCTGTGTAAATCGTTTTAGCTGTGTCCCGGTAAGGTCCCGAGATACTGGCGTAGTGGTTTAAGGCCCTCACAGCCAGGAAGTTGATGTTGATCCATATAGCTCCTCTCCAGTAAGGGGCATCGTGTTCAGTGTTGTGCTTCTTGTAAACCGGGTCGCTCTTGGACAAGGACCGTATACCGTAGTTACTCCACAGCTTCTTCGGGTCTCTTAACTGTGTGAGGACTTTTTCAAGTTTTGGTGAAGCGGGATCTAGGATTTGAAGCAGGAATGGAAACAAGCTGACGTAACCAACTGCGTTCACGTACTTAGGAGAAGGACCCTGTTTTGATGTTACGGCCCGAACAGTCTTTTTGGGCGAACCGGGTTGATTCGGATTCACAACACGCTGAACAAGCTTCACACGCTTGGTATGATTCCCAAAATCGCTATACGTCTCCTCCTCTGAAGACCAATGATACTTGTCCAACAGCCCGTTATCTGACAGATACTGATTTGTCGATTTGTAAAGACCGGCATCTGACCTCTCACCCACAGCCTCAGCGATGTCAGCCATCAGTCCAGCAGCAAATGCCATCCAACAACGTAGATCAACGTGCCTTTCATCGTCTGACGGGTGCGACGCCCGGGGATAATCATCCAACCCGGAAGTGAGCGTCTTAGGATTCAACTCTTTGTCTGTCTTAGCATCCCTGCCGTGCCACCTGTACGTGGATGGTAGGCTTCCTAGCTGTGTAGTGTTGAACCAATTAAACCAGGCCTTCAGGCGAGGAAAAATCTTCCGCAAATACCCTTCATCTAACACGCCCTTATCCACCATCGACTTGATGGGCAGAATCAGAGTGGGTGGGTTTGCGTTTTCGTTGTGCTGTACGACGAAATCTGAAGGTACCTTTGTCCGGGCTTCGTCCCCAAGAATCTGTTCACGAGGAATCCAACCTTCGATGTTGATCAAATCCAGCCAATGACCAATGACATCTTTGCTGATATCCGTGTCCCACTGACTGATTAGTAGTTGGTGGAAGCCTTCATCCCAGAGGAAACCTCGAGGAAAGAAAGGACGTGATGGAACCGCAGTGTACAAAGCGCTTTCCCAGTAATCTGTCGGTTCCTTGAAGAACCGAGAAATCACTTTTGAGCTTCCATAAAAATATCCAATGCCTCCAAGCATATTACTTAACCCAGCCTGTGCAAATTCAACCTCATCATCACCAAACCCTTTAGCCTTCAACGAAAACTTCTCTTCAAATCTTTTGTCAAATTCGGTGCTGTGTTTATCTCTAAGATTCGTGAAAGCAGCCCCTATCAGCCTTTCCTCCCTGCTTGTGAAACTTTCAGACTCAAACACAAATTCCACATCGAAAGGAAGCTCGAGAACCCATTGCTGTACAAACAGGTTCACCGGTAACTCACGGCCATTCTGGTCACGTTTAGTCACGTGACCTGCCAAGGCAAGCAGCTGCATATTCTGGCCCCCTTTCGTTTTCGCCACGCGCATATTCTGCATCACGGTTTCCTTGACAGAATGCACGTGTGGTGTGTGCATAGCTAAAAACGACGAAAACAAGACCTTGGAGGGGCGTGGAAAATGCATGGTGAAAGAACCAAGTTCAGGCGTGTAACCACGCAGCCCCGTAAGTGTGTTCTTGTGGACAACCGGCTGCAGTTGAGCTTCTCCCTCGTGAGTGGTATAGAACAGTAAGGAGACCATCTGCCTGGGGTTTCCCTTGAAATGAATAGAACACAAAAATAATAAAAATCTTCCTTCTGTATCTTTTATTTCTAATATCATATTAATCAAGTGTCCACAAACATTATGTTTGAACTCTATTACACTTCTAAATTCACTTCAATCCGACAATTAACTACGAGGTGAAATCTTAAACAAAAAATCAAGTCTGTTAAATAAGACTGGTGAAATGTAACTTAAGGTTAAGAATGTATCTCTCTTGTCAGTATATGCACAGGTCAAAGAGGAAACACCAGTGCATCTCTAAGGTTTGCAATGAAACACATTTTGAACACAGCTGTTTGTCAGATAATGCTTGTTGTAACTGAACATTCAGGTGTGGTACAAAGTCACCTTGACACACTCAGACAAGTTTTTATGGATTTAACAGAGCAAAAAAAAAAAAAAAAAAAAAAAACCAACCATTCTCTTTCCTGAAATTCTTGCAGTCCAGTCTCCACCATGATCTCCACCCAACCTTTTTACAAAGTCCGTATTCAACACAAAATCTTTGTCAACTATCTCCTGAGAGCCGAAGTTGGTGCCATCATGTTTAAGCCAGCCATACTTGGGAAGCCCATCAGACTGTTCACAAGTGTGGCGAATAGTTAGTTGACCATCCTGCGAAAGCTGAGGAAACCACATTAAACCTGTCATGAGGGACTTAGGACTCCTTGTTCTGTGGACATAAGAAAGAGACTTGTAACTGAGCTAGTTCAATCCACACAAAACCTTCTGGAAGGTGGCCAGCTAAATTAAACAGACAAAAGCATAATTAAGTATTCATTTTCCACTGCAATATCATACAATCTTTGTAGCATTATAGAGATGAAAGGGGTAATATTACTCTTGATATTCCCACACAAAGACTTGTTAAAGGTCTGGTGGTCTTCTTTGATCCAGTAGTACTGACTGGTCTCAAAATCAATCTCTCCATTAAACTAGTGAACTTACATTGTTACAGTAAATGTAAAAGTGGTTTTTGGCTACATCCAGGTCTGATTCCTAACTCTATAAATGTGTCTCTTTAAGGCCACCAAAGATGGTTTAGTTAATGTAAATAATTTAATGCTTTATAGATGGTAGCTTCCTAACCTTTATTAACCTATTTTCTTGGAAATGAGAACAAAAAAATAAAGCCACGATGCAGCCTGTGAGAAACACTTAATTTTGTTCCTTTTTTTGTGCCTGTGACTCAAAGAAAGTTCAATCAGTGACCATCACTTTCAAAATAACTGAATTTCATATTTTCACATAGCATTAACAAATCAGTACATAATTATGGTTCAAAGCCACCTTAATTTTCTTATCATTTAAGGAAAATTGATCCATCAAAGCATCAATGTTATCAAAATGTTGAAATGATGAGTAACTGTACTCTTCCCAAACCCAACACTCACTCAGATGTTCACGGCATTCCCTCAACATTTCACACTAAACAAACCTTTGAGCCATTTACTCTACTCTGAACATGAGAATTCAAAGTTTACTACTTTGAAACACCATTATGGGGAAAATATGTTTTGTCTAAACTATGGCAAAGAGAGATCCATTCTGTACACCATAATTAGCAAATGCCTTATGAGAGAATGGGTACATGAACTCTATAGCCTGCTTGTTCAAAGGCTGAATGACACTATCCACTGGTTAAGTCACTCTCCAACAGCATGGCCTGGGTTAATCAAATAAGCCTGGTTGCTTGAACTGTGGATAATGCAATTGAAAGTTACTTTTTAATCCACCCAATTGCAAATGTGGATGATGGTGCTCTCTACCAAACTAAGATATAAAATTTTGATAAAACAAACTACACTTATCTTTTCTGGGTATCAATTTACCAAGCCATAGGCTTGGATAAATGGTAGCAGACCATTCACTTTGCAATGAAAATGGTAGTCTGTGTTCCTAGCACCTACTGGATGGATATCAAAGTATCTACTGGACTGTTAATTCCCTTGGCTGTTAGTACTATACTGGAGACTATTTGAAGGATAAATTCCAATCCACCCTCACATTTTTTGGGCAAAAGATAATTATCATTGCCACTGCACTGAAGTTGTAAATGAACACTTGCATGATGGAGAGCACTATTCACTCTTTAACCCATTAATGGCCGCAGCTTTTGTGAAAAACTGTGTTTTGAAGCTAGTTGAGCAGATTTCAGCTCACTGTTGTGGTTTTAAAAGCTCAAACTTACCAAAAACCCATTGACAGCTTGTACACTCGACAGCCTTTCGATCCAAATGCAAAATGGCAGCCTGAAAATCTTGGGCACGTGCAGAAAGCAAAATTTCGAGATAGTTTTTGGGTTGAAAAGTAATGCCCCACTTACGACTTTTACTTTTCTCTCTTTCTCCTGCCCTTTTTTTCCCCTCTCCTTGCCTGAAGTTTCTCCTCATTTGCTGGAAATTTAGTAGGCTTCATTTTGGTGTAGAGATTTTTTAGGAAACTACTCACTGTTTTCAAACCACATGCTCTGAAAGGTAGGTGGGTAATGGAACAAGATTTTTGTGCAGATTTTCAGGTCAAAGTTACATGGTTTTTTGGCTATTTCTCCAATCTCCTRAACTCAATTGCGCTCATTCTGGTATCGTTTGTAAGATATTTTCAACCTGTTCAAGTACATGCTCAAAGTTGTGCTCCAGGGTTAAAAGTGATGACGTCACAAGGCGCAGAAAGGGTGTGGGTCCACATGGGCACATACGGGCGCACTGGACATCAATAGGTTAATCTTTTGAGCCCTAAAAGTGACCAGCATCTAATTTCTCCTTAAATTATCCCCCCTGAATCAAACACTGAAGTCACAAGAATAAAGGAAATGATCTCCAACTAAAGAAACTCATGATTGTTCAACAAATTCTCCTAGTCAGCACCTTAGGAAAGGTGTAGAGTACTGTATGGAGAATATAAATATTGATGTTAGGGTATAAAGGTCTAAATAATAGGGATCTGTTGGATGGAGCTACCCCCAACTGGAGTTAGCTCATTGGTATTCACTAAAGTCTGTATAAAAGTCTCACAAAGAAACTTTATTCCTCTCCACCCTAATGTCAGTATGCATAATCATCACATTGTTCTATAAATATTCCTCAAGGAACTGGTTAGGATAAATTGTCAATAATTCTCCAGATAGCAATCATTGGCAAGATTTCCATAGAACCCCATACATTAATTATGTATAGAGTGTTGCAAAGAAACCTTTATATTTAGTCTCTATGAAATAGAATGCACAATTAATGAATGGGGTTCTATGGAAATCTTTCCGGATCATTTCCTTTATTCCCATGCATGACCATTCAGCCATGATGCCGTAGGGGGAAATTTGATGCTAGTAACTATTAGGGGTTCAAGGAACATGTTTAACGACCTTGATCATAAAAAATCTAACGTTGTAACTGGAGCTAACTGTTAACCAAGCTTAAGCTAATCGTCATAGTTTAAAAAAAAAAAAAATACACTATTTTTTAAATCTATTATTTTCTTACCGCAGCCCAAAGTAGAGGTTAGATCGATATGTTCCCCAGAAGCGACTCATTTCCATTTCACTCTTGTTTATAACTAATGGCGCATCGAGTGGCGTGAAAAGACGTGTAGATAATTTGTAATTCCAAAGTTTATACGCTCCAAACAAAAGCAATGAAAGACAAAAAGCAGCTGCCAGTACTAGAACTGGTTTGAAAGAAGATTCCCTTCCCCGGCGCCGAGGAAATTTAGTCCTATCTACATGATCTCTCGAAGAATCAAAGCTGTGTTTTCCTTTCCTCCGACGTACCATTTTCGAGAATAATACTGAACTGACGGAGAAATAGACTTGCAAAACTCTACGAAAAATTTTACAGAGGGTCAGCCATCTTGTTACCATGTGGCCGAGCTACAATTTGAAAGGGAGCGAGCACTAAGGTAAAAAGTCGCGACAGTTGCGTGACTTCCTTTCTGCACTTTCAGTACTAGTTTAAGTAGTTTAATTTCAACAAATACAAATAACTAATCTACATTACACAATACCAAGAATGGTTTATCTCGGAAAACAAACAAACAAACAAAAAAAAATAAATGTCTGTGTCTACCACAAATTTTTCAAAATTATCTCAAATATCTCAAGTATCACAAATCTGGATGACGATTTTCCTTTAAGAGATAGGTGGAAAACCGAAAATATTAAAAGTAACAAAATCTTTTTTGGTGAAGATAATTGGAATCTAGTGTTGCATAATTATTTTGACAAATTTGGCTCAGAAATGTACACATTTTCAGTTAATGTGAAGCATCTACAATAAGGCCTACCTTGTCATTTGAAGAGCAATCTTCATCTGAATATCTTGTTTTCAGAGAAGTTAGGGTTTTCGCGGGAAAATTTCAGATCGATTCACTCTGCCTCCTAATCTAGCCTCAAATGTTTAGTGGCTAGGTACATAAGGGAAGTAAAATGCTTTAAGTTTCGAGTGTCCACATAAGGTGTAGTTTAATACGAAGCTGAGACAGTAGCAAAAGAGATAAGGGTAAGAAAGATTGAACAAGGGTTAAGTGGCAGACTCGAGATAAACCCAATCAAAGAGAGCGTAAAATTTGCTTTGTTTTTTTGAAATTTCAGGAATGCAGTGTTTTACTTTATGAACGTAAAATGGATATCAATCTCCATGAATGCTGTATAAAGGGTGTAACACTGGTCAAAAGTTGTATATGAAAGGAACTCTTAGGTGGTTCATTCCAATACAGAATTTTATAAAGGAGATGTACTCCTCTTCCCCCAGCTCGACTCCTCAGTTTGTTTCCCCTATCTGGGCCTTTGTAGCAACATGTCACTGCTGTGTCAGTCAGTTGCTTGGCTGCTTGTCTTTTCTTTTCCAGCAGAACTATATCAAGAGCCAATTCAAACAGACGGAAAGTTCCCTCATTTCATATGGCTTAATACAATCTTACACCCACTCCATGAGGTACCTGGATGCAGTGTTTAACTGAGTGCTCATTGTTCTTTTTCATACATCACTGTCCATCATTCTTTTAAGAATCAGTTTAAAAACAACAAACAAGATAACAATGCAAAACAACACCCTGATAACATTATTATATGCATAACTGCCTACCAAATAGCAAGACCCATGCTAAATAAAAAATCCAGTAGAACTACCGGTAATATAGGGATAATTTTTTATAGACGAGTTGGTGAAATGATGATCTTTAATGAAACCACAAGAATAATTGTCTTCCTGACAGTCTGCCAAGCATTTCTAACATATTATTTTAGTTCTGAGTTGATGTTAAATAAACCTGTTTATTAGCTAATATCATTCTTAATTCGCACTACCTGCTTGAAAATGTATTTATACAGTAAGGAGACATTTTCATTGGTCACTCCCACTAGTAAAAGGGCTTTAAAGGAAAGTGCATATTACTTTCATCTGCACAATTTCACAGTACAGATAAAAATTGCCTGCTTACAACCTTCCGAGACTTCAACAACTCACTTAATTGTTAAAAAATTGTCTTCAAATGTGCTAAAATGGTGACTATGGCCAATAATTGACATACAAAACAACTCAGAAACATAGCTGAACACACCTAAATGGTAAGAATCAGAACAGAGCATCAAAAAATAACCATTTTGAAAATTTAAATGCAAGAATGCCTCTCTGTGAACTCATTTATATTTAAACATATTGCTAAGATTTGAAAAAAAGGGGAATGAAACTTTGAAACATCAAAGGAGGCAGCCACATTTACTGAGCAAGATTACAAACAGCAGCCTCTGCATTTGAATTTTTAGCACATTTAAAGAGAACTTTTATGAGAATAGACTACTCTATAGGATCTCAGGAGGCCAAAATTGTTATAATTTCATACAGACCCTTTGAAGCAGAGATGAAAATAACATGATCTGTAAAGTATACTTCTTTGTGGAATACAATCTACAACTTTGTGAAAAGTGATGAAAGAAGTGCACTCACAACAGAATTGTTTAACCTGCTCTAACCCTGATCAGAGATCTGATTTTGAGTTATATTAATTTTGGACAGCATGTGCATATTGTTAATTCTTTCATCCTTGTAGATTGTCTCCTTGCCAAGATCTTTATATTGCAAGGAGAATGTCATAATTGATCAAGAGGGATGTCCACAGAAAAAAGATGAAGCAAAATAATTAATGTTAAGGGGTAAAGTGATTTCAAATTTGTCAAAAGGGTTCTTTGTCCCTTGAATGCTATCTCTATAACTATTTTTGCATCTGCAAATGAAAACCACCTACACCAACTTCATACATAATATTTATCACTCAGCCAGTAATGTCCTATGCAATATTTGCATTGCAATTTTCTTAACTAGTTCTGGGACTTTTCTCTAGTTCTTCTTAGGAGAATGTATGCATAGCTTCTGTTAAGTTAAGAAGTGTCACCTAAGATAGAGTTTTACATAAGAGTCAACCGCCAGCAAAATTTTTGGTTACTCTTCAGGCCTTTGCCAGATACTTCAGTTGTCACCTCATGGTATGGGAGGTAAGACAACTGTAGAGCCACAAAAAAACTGGAAACACAACACCTCTTCCTTTTCATCATCTCCCTATTTCAAAGCTGAAACAAAACCATGAGTAAAAAATCCCTCCTTCCACAGGCATTGTTTAAGTGAATTTCTTGGAGAACACAACAAAAGTTCATCCAAATATTACAACTGTAAGGCAATCAAAAGAATAAATCTCATTCCTTAGATCCTCATCTACAAAGTAGTCACAAAGTTGTCACAAAGTTGTCACCAGAATAGAACTGAGAAATGAAGCCCATATGTGTAACTTACATGACACTTGTCTTATATCTACATTTCTCTATAATTTAAACCATATAGCTCAGCCTAATATAGCTTAGAAGGTCTTGCGATGAATGGCTCTGGCTCCTTCATCATCATATTCTTTTTTGGACACCCACATCTTCTTGAATGTGTCTAGAGATGCTAAAATAGAGCCCCTAAAATAACAAAAAGGAGAACAAGGATTTTTGACATGAAATAGTAAGATAGCAAAGTTTTAATGACAAAATATGTTCTACAATATACTAAAAAAAAAAAGGACGATGACATATACTTGAACTAGTGGGAAGCAAACTTACCCAAACCACGTTGAGTAGAGTCTTTCTGGAGGAGCTGAAATCTAATGGGGAACAGAAACATAAATAAATTAATAACAACAAAATTGCCTTCTGTCACACTGATAAACACTCAGATAATTATGTTATGTCACATTAACAGCCCTTGCTGTAGCTGTATGTAGCTTCAAGTAATTACATGTAAAAAGAATTATTGACAGCATACAAACCCTAATTTTTATATCTTTTGGTGCCAATTTTTTCACCTCACTCAACAGCCGATCTCCAAAGCCTGTAAAAAAGAAAACTCAAAACTGAGGACTTCCTTTGTTTAAATTAATTTTTTTAACCAGTTTAATAATTTCATTAGGTTTACAAAAAGCCCAAGTTTGGGCATCAAGGATTTGTTGTCAACAGGGTAACTTAAAATTTATTTGCTGATTTGCCCGTGCTAAGAGTGTACATGTAAGTTCACCACAAATTTGGCCATTTCCTGAAATGTATTACCTCCCAGAGGCGATGAATACTATACTTATAAATGGGCAATTTGATTGAGGCTTTGAGCTACCGTAATTCCTTTTATATTCCAAGCTTTTCTCAATATACCACATCTTCATTCCCTGATGATGATGCAGTTTGGCAAAAGCTTGGAATAAAAGAAAAACAGTACCTCAATTTCTCAATCATTCATTTAATCAACATGATACTGAAAGACAACACAAACATTTACAATGTACTATACTTTTTACGTCAATGAATTATTTGTGACAAGGTTGGGAGATGAGACAAACTTAAAAGCAAATAGTGTTCTCCTGATGTGACACAAAATGCTCTTAGATAATATACAAGGAGAGGTTATAGTCACTAGCAGAACTCAAACGTTGGGCAACTTGCCAAGAAAACCAGAAGTGTTTTACCTTAGACAATATCTACATTGACACAAGTTAACATAAAGACTTCTGAAGTTTGAGTCAAAGCATCCAAAGACATAACACTTCTATTACCTTTAAATAGAGTTGAACCACCAGAGAGCACAATATTTGAGTAGAGAATTCGCCTCAGATCCATGTCAGATTTTTGAATAGCAAATGCCAATACCTAACAAAAGACAAAATCATTATTCAGTTATAGTTCATTAGGTGAAAACACTCTGGCTTAATATGGTTGGCAGTAGTATTAAGTCAGTCTCCCTTACCTCATGGATTCCTTCGCATTCCTCTCCAACCAAGTCAGGTCTAAACAGAAGTTCTGGTGCTCTGAAACGTGCTGGCCCAACCTATATCAAACAAGAATAAGTAATTAGTGAAAACTGAACATTCTCCAACATTACCAAAGTGTTTCTGTCTGGGTATCTGGGTATAACAATCAAAATAGTGGGTAGGTATGGAGGGTAACTTCTGATTCAAGTCACACTCACAAGATATATATATATATATATCTTATTAAACGTTTTATTGTGTGGTATTTTTACAAGTTGTGCATATCTTGACGAACCCGTAGGGCGAGTCAAAATACAAATGAGTAAAAATACTCAGCAATACTACACAACAAAATGTTTATAAGAGATTTATCATCCAACACACCAAATTGTTATTCAGTGCAGGCAAATTTCGTGGATATTTCTTGAGTTCAAATATCACATGATATTTGTACACATCTTGTATGTTATTTATACTCTATAAAGCACATTTGGATAATAAATAACTTTAATCAGTTTTTAGATAATTTTGATGGAAAAGTCTTTACCTCTAATATACTTCCATCAGGTAGAGCATATTGCATCCTCTCTCCTTCCATTGACTCCTGCAAATTTCATCAATAATCATTAACATTTTTCCTATTAAATAAAAAGGGGTCGAAACATCAAGACAATGAAATACAACTCAACTATGTCTCTCAGAATGTTTGGAATTAATTTTGATCTTTTCTACTTACCTCTTTCTGTGGGTTTATTGCAAGGTAGCAAGCACGCTGGAAAAAGAGAAATTCAACACTTAGTTTTTTTATAATTTTGTTCTAAAATGTATTTGCATTGACCACTCACAAGCACAATTACAGTTTATGTGCAAACAGATACCTAGTTTTTTTTCTCACCTCTTTAATAGTTCTTACAATTTCCAGTTCAGATGACGAATGAAAGTTGAAGCCCTCCTTTCTCAAAAGCAATCTTAGATATGCAGTTACATCTCTGTTGACAGTACAATGTAAAGTGGAGAATAATGATTTACTCTCTCGAACCAGCCGAAATTAAGATCCACTTAATGTTAATAATAATAAAAATAATAGTGGTAGTAGTTGTAATGTTAATAATAATGACAATACCGGTAATAGTAGTGAAAACTTCAGATATTGTTATAACAGCTTAACAGTAACAAAAAAATAACCTAATGACATGATGCATGGCTTAAAAATTTTAAAATGCACAAAATCAAAAGGTTTGCAGGTCTCAAACAAGGACAAAGACTATGGCTTCAGAAATGTTACAAAAAAAAGCTGGGTGTCATCATAAAATGAAATCCCCGAATGAAGATTGTGAGAACTTTGAAGACGATCAAAATGAAAGATTTTGGAAAATCATCCTGTATTGTATATAAATCAAAATTTAAAAGTAATCAAAAAGCTCAACAGATGAGAGTTTGGATATATATAAGTTCACACAGCAACCAAGTGGACAATCAGACATGGTTTGATACTACTCTGCTACTTCAAATTGTGATAATGTCGGCTTGCTATCTGACACCTATAAATTACACCTCGTCAGAAAAAAGGGCAATTAAATTAGTGAGCATATAAAAGGGGCCTCTTGTTGCAATGATCAGATCACCCCTGATGAAGGCACTAGACAGGAGTGTGGAAATGTTGGGTCAATGTACTGTAATTTTGGTTACATTCATTAAATCTTTACACCAGAATAGCATCAAACCATGTCAGATGAGACTTAAATAAACAGTACAATATATAAATTGCAGTTGGATTATTTTGTGTTCATTTAACATAAAACATACCTTCCAGCAATATCTGTCCTCATAATTGAGTGTGGCATAGCAAAGCCTTCATAAATAGGGACAGAGTGAGACACTCCATCACCAGAATCTAACACCACACCTGTGGTACGACCTGAAGCATACCTGAAGAGTAACAAATTGTGGTCAATACACTTAATACAATGCTAAGACCAACAAGGGTAAGAATGGTTTAATAAATGGTTATTTGTTGTATGTTGGCCGTAATGTGGTTTGGGACTCCAACCAGAGAATGCTACTGGAAACATTTTTTCATCTAGTAAACAGAGAGTATGAGCTGGCTGCAAACAATTCTTTGGTTGCGCAGACTGAGCAATTAGCGGGTACAAGAAAACCCATACTATTCTACTTTTCTTTGACTTAAATCTGATGCTATGATCTCACTGACATAAACAAAAATTGAATTGGTTTGAAAAATTTATAAACAAAGGAAAATTTAAACCACAGCTTAACCAATTCAAATAAAGGATTCCCTTCATCTTGCCCACTCTTAGAGCCTGCCATGAAATGACAATTGTTATTTCCACTACCCGCATTAAACTACTAACATTAGTTAAGTTCCATTTATCATCTTTTTTCCCTACTTATTCAATCATTATTATAAATAAACCTGACAGGGTTTCCTTAGTAAAAAGAGTCACATAAACAGAACCTCCAATAAGGAGCAAAAGCAAAATGATGGTAAGAATTCAATGAAAAACCATTACTTACAAACTAAGCACTGCTTGCATGGATATGAACAATGCTGGTACATTAAATGTCTCAAAGAATATCTGTGGGCAAATCGCATCAAACGAAAAATGAGCAAAACATGAAAACATGCTTGAAAGTCGCTTTAGATGATTTACTAAATTTTAGACCAAGCTTTTACCAATTAGTTTTAATTGCTAACTTTTTTGTGAAAGAAATTTTCAGCATTTGTTCACAAATACTTGACCTCTCAACTGTCATTTTGATATGGAGGAAACTAATACTACTGTAGTCCCCTCCTCTCCCACCCCTCCCCCACCCAAAAAAAAATACAGCTCTAGTTTCTTTTCATTATTTCTGACCTCTGCTGATTTTTCTCTGTTTCTGCGAGGATTCAGGGGAGCTTCTGTTAATAACACAGGATGCTAGAAAAGAAAATACCATACTTCACAATACTGTCTTTGGAAATACCAAGGTTATGGTAAAAATAATGTCAAATGTCAGTAATCTATGACTCAGATAAGATGTTTACCTCTTCTGAAAATGTTTGAAGCTGGTCTTTGGAATATATATACTTGAAAAAAAAAAAGTCAAAATGACAAAAAATGTCAGTCTGGCAAATAATATAAAAAATTCAAGAAATTTCATTGATCGAATCTCCCTTCTACCTGCCAAATTCTTTCCATGTCATTCCAGTCTTTTACAACACCATGCTGAAAACATAGAGAGAAAAGAATAATTGATATATTGTCCATTTAAGTGTCACATTACACTGTATTATACCCAAGAGGTGCATCTGGTCAATAATAACATAATTGTGTAAGTTCTGATTTGGAATCTGATGTAAAGACCAGGGATTACAAGGCAAGTATTTGATCTTCTCTTACCTCCATGGGATATTTGATATTTAACAGGCCTCTGTGTTCCTGAAAAGAAGAGCATCAGAGATAGCCATTTGTTAATTCAAGAACATCTAAGCATGAGCTACTTTGTATACAATAAATCAGAGGTTTAACTCAGCCTCAGCCTTAAATCTTACAAAACACTGACAGTAAAAATAGTAATTTCTTTTTCATTAATCAACATTACCAGATTTTTCAGTCATCTACCCATGGGTGCAAGAAAATCTTTCACTTTACAACACACACACCTCAGCTTTAGGTCCAATAAATATGTCACCCTCTAAGGCACCGGCCATGACACGAACATGTTTGGGTCTGCCCACACTGATACAAAAAATGTGTAAACGTGCAACAATTAGTGTCCATGGAAAAAACTTTTCACTTCTCATCCTAGTGAAATATTCCTGTATAATACAGTTGGTTTTCCATAGGACAGAAAATTCTTATAACAGGGCTTGTGCATCACATCAAAGAAATTGGACAGCAGTTTGAGTCATCCAGTTGACAATGGTAATACGACTGAGTGGAGCCCAGTTTGGTCTGCAATCATACAAGTGATTAACAAAATCAGACGATAGTGAAACAGGAGTCTGATCTGTTAGTAATGAGTATGATTACAGACAGAATTGGACGAAATGAAGTCTTGTTACCAGTTAATCAAAATTGTGACAAAAGTTGACAAAGAAACCCAACATCGGTTGTATGTTTTTCTAAAAAAATAAAAGTTAACTCAGCACACATATGATATGCACTGTTCACTTGCACAAGCATGACATGTCAACTGTCCAATTCCAACATCCAGTTACAAGCATGAAGCATATACTGACCTACACATGTTCAAATCCAGCTAGTGATGACCAATTACATTTGAGAAATTTGTTATAGTTTTGATTGGGTATGTCCATATTCATAACACATCATAATTTAAAGTTGTGTGCTTACTTTGTACACCTTTAAAGTGCCCCTGAGATCAAAATTTTCGTACATCATTTTTTTTCCATTTTCGTGTTCAGTGTGTCTCCTTCGCCTACTCTGCCAAATTTCAGTTTAGACCAAGCACCAGAAATATCTTTTTTCGGGCCGTTAAATTCATGATTTCACATCCGCCATTATTTGATCATGTTCCGGAAGTTGATTGCAGGACTCAGAGGAAGTGATGTCAAAGGCTTAATGCGAAAATCTCACATGGCAAAACGTCAAGCAAACATAACAGAGTGCTTTACTCTATTCTCACAAAAACTAAACAAAAATGACTGGGCATCGATGCATAATTCAAAGCTGAAGTAATCGTGCAGAACATGCTGCAGGTATTTCTCTGCATTGGAGCCTTGCAAATAGATCAGACCGGGAAAAACGGATGTGATTTGTGTGACCTCACCGAGTAAACTTGAATCCTACAGAAATATTGTGATCTACTCCAAACACTTCTCGGAGGACTGTTTCGTGAGATCTGTGTACTTTGAAGGATCTAGGCAAAGAATTCTGTCGGGTTCAGTGCCTACTGTTCAAGAAGAGAAGGGACAAGAAAAACCATCCTCAGTGCGATCTCGACGCCGGAAAGCGAAGTCTACGAACCTCCCCGGATTTTGTCACCTTTGCATAAAATGAGCTGATCAATATCCAACTTTAACAATTCTCTGGCAGAATACCTTACACAAAGGAAAGTACTCAGTGAACATTGTAAATAAGAATGATAAAATAGCCGAATTGAGGATTGAGATTTCTGACCACAAAGAGCTCACTTTTATACAAAAGAGATGAAAAATAATTATAATTGTATGCTCTGATTCTAAAAAAAGCTGGCTTTCATATCAGCAAAAGCAGAACAAACAGCTTAAGACAGAGCGTAAAAACACTTTAAAAGGAAGGCTTGCAGCCAAAATCCAAGAAAATGAAAATTTCTTTAAAAACCTGTCCAACTATCAACCATCTGACAGCCAGGTCAGCGTGCTATCAAAGGGTCTCAAATTCATCCCAACGCCCGTGACAAACAAATTTAAAATCAGGCCAACTTTTGCAAGATTTATTTGCAAGACGAATGCCCCTCAGTTACACCTTTCACAGACAAAACAAAGAACCACTTCTGTTTCATATCAAACTGAATGCCACCGGTTCAGTCTTCTATTGCCCTTCAGAGCTACTTGGAAAATTGTCATAACGCTACTTGCAGACTACATCTAAGCCAAAAATACTTTGTAACACAATGAGGTCACGGCTCTAAAAGAGTTAAAACAAACTCTGCTTTAAACCTCACTGAAGCAACACAACAATAGTCATCATGAATAAGACAGAAAAAACAAAAGAGGCCAAAGTGCAACTCAACAACAGAGCTCACTTCAAACCTCTCAAAGCACCGATAGTAAAAAACACGTAGGTAAGGGTTAATGAGATCATTGACCAATTGCATCGGGGAAAACACATTGATGGCTTAGAAATGGCTTTCACAAACTCCCAATATCCGCCTTTGGATACAAAATTAGCCATTGCCAAAAACTATTTTTACTAATCACCCGATCATTTCTTACAAAAAAGAAAAATCCCTTATGACAAGCAAAAATACAGTTCAAAGGCGCTAAAGCGATGTGACCACAAAAGCCACATGGGGAGTCCATGCCGTTCTGTGTTTATCTTTATTCACATGGCAAAAATTCATCGTTTGTCAGTCCAAAACTATCCACATTAGCTTCAGATAATTTCTGGGACAAATCATGGTCTGAAAAAGTCGACATTTCCCGACTGACAACGAAGCAGTTCTCAAAAAAGTGGTACGTGTGATTCTCTGCGCAGCGAACAAAGAGAGTTGTGACAAAGCAAAGCATAAGTTTGTTGAGCCTTTGATGTCATGATGACGTTTTTGGAGGCTTGGCTGGAACATGTTTTCAGCAATGGCAGACGATTTTTGGACGACTTTGAAGCAGTAAAAATTGGTCATCAAAGGTTTGTTTTGAGTTTTTAATGGCAAAATGGGTCTTAACTTGACCCAATTCAACATTGTGTAAACAATTTAGCCAAAATAAAATGGTCAATTTTTGTCTCAGGGGCACTTTAACCCTTTCACTCATGAGATCTCATTGGTAATTCTCCCTACTGTCTGTGATATAACTCTTATGATGTTCCTTTAAAGAACTTGGTATTTGATCAACTAATGATCCACTGGTTGATATGTTTCTTTATTCTCATCACTTGTCTTCTTGATATTGTACTAGCATTGTAAGGAGAAATTCTGTCTTGGTCACTCATGACATCTCATTAGTAATTCTCCTTACTGTCTGAGATATAATTCTTATGATGTTCCTTTAGAGAACTTGGTATTTGATCAACTAATGATCCACTGGTTGATATTTTTCTTTATTCTCGTCACCTTTCTGCTTGATATTGTACTAGCATTGTAAGGAGAAATTCTGTCTTGGTCACTCATGGCAGGGCTCAACACTAACTTTTTAACTTACTAGCCAAGTGGCTAGTGGCTTCTTAGATTTTACAACAATTTCAGTTTATTTACTAGCCAAACTGGCCAGTGGAAATCGAAAACCACTAGCCAAAACTGAATTTCTACTAGTCTGAGGCTAGTGGGCTACCGTTAGTGTCGAGCCCTGTATGGGAGTGAAAGGGTTAAAAAAAGAGAATAAAACTGGACATCACTTAGTTGCTATATTTACTTTATACTATGCTAACTTTTTGGGGCATCTTAATTGGAAGGCAAAGTTTACCAAAATCACAAAACCTGGTTCTGTCCTGGTGTACCGGTTCACAAGGGAATTAACATTGTTCTTTCTTTGTTTAGGAGTCATTGGTTAGCTGTTGTGTATTGTTCGGTCTTTTGTATCGGCTCTTGTGAACCGGTACACGAGGACAGAACCCAAAACCTTCAAAAAGCCCTAGCAACTTAACCACACAGACATAAAGTAGACTGAACAACAGTTCATAATGTATTTGTTTGATTTTGTTGTATTGTTTGGGTCATTTCAAGCTCCAAGTGGACTCCACTTAGTACCATAAAGCTTAATAGCAAGTCTACAAGGCCATTACTGCATATCATTATCACCATAGACTTAAATTCAAATATTGGCCTTTAGAGCCATGCTTTAATATTGTTGTAAAATCCTCAGAGCTTAAATCAAAATCACACTATTTTCTCTCGATAGAAATTGATCACAGAAAAAGGATCGGGCCAATCAATCAATTTGATCATTTGAAAATAATCACGCTTTTAATTAATCACAAGCACAATAATTAAATTATGTACACATGGACATTACTTTTTTTTTTGTCTCAATCGAGGTGTAGTACAAGTTGTGGACAGAAACAATGAGAAACTTACAAATTTGGAAAATGGTATTTGGGAATCTGATCCCCAGCAAATCCAGCTTTGATGACTCCTGATCCCTATTAAGAATGAAATCAAGGTTAGAATACTAAAATATTGACTTATAACAAGTTAGTTACACCTGATTTTTTATACAGAACTCGGTACAAGCCCTAAAAAATTGTCATTCTTTCCAAAACCAATATCGTTGACAAACCTATCACATACATTGTCTATGACAATAGGCTGATTTGCTATCACGTCAAATTGGTCCATTTTGCCAGAGAAAAGAAGTACTATTTACACTGTCTTCTGAAAAACATAGAGCTCGGTTCAAAATGTAAAATGGCGGACAACCCTTTTTTCCACGTGATAATTTTTGACCAATGATGAAACTATGAATCCACAAATTGATTTGTATTTAACCAGCGGTTACCCGCAAAATGTCCAAGATGGCGGCGAAACTCAGGCAAGGTTCATGGAATGTATTGGCCGAAATCGGAGCACGAATGATCCTTTTTGCAATATTTATGTAAGTATTTTGTCTATTTATAGTTTTTTCTTAAATCAAAACAGATTTTTTACGAGATGCTGCCTTTCTACGTCCAATTTCATTCAATCCAGTTGGTCAGAAAGCCAGCTGTCGACAGTTCGTGTCGAAAGATTTCGTTGCTATGACTTCTTATCGTCGGCGAAAGAATGCTCCATTTTATGCTTGCGATTCGTTTATTTTGATTTAACCCGAGATTTATATTTCCAGTATATTTCAAAGCTAAAAAATTGGTTGTTAAAAATACGAACAAGTGTAACATCTAACATGCAGAATTAACAACCAAGTGACCGTAATTTAAATCAATGATTGACACGAGAGTTTTGTTCATGTGGCCACCGATTACTTCCTTAAATAGCAAGATCGTTGCGAGTGAGATCGTTCAACACTGTACTATGGTCAAGTCTCTCTTCTGAGCAAAAGACGAGGCTGTCTTTCTCAATAATTATGGAAAGAAACTTTATTGGCCCCCTGCCACGCTTGGCCTTTGGTAATAGCTTTATTGAGTACAAAACATCATCTAAATGTCTTGGGGTGACAATTGACAGCAAGCTATCATGGCAGGAGCACATAAAGAACGTTTGTAAGTCATTCAGGAACAAAGTTGCAGTACTGAATCGGATAAAGTTTTTACCGATACCAACCTTAGAAAACATTTATTATAAAACTATTATCCCTAGCGTTTTGTATGGCATTGTAGTCTGGGGGTCTTGTTCTTCAACCTTGACGGATGATATTGATCGAATTCATTTAAGAGCTACTAGAATTATTTACAACCTACCCCATAGCATCCACAGTGATGACATCATGAACGCTCCACACTGGAACTCTATTGTTTCATTTTACATCAGGAGACTTTTAGTTATTACGTACAATATCTATCATGGAAATAGCAT